TCTGTGAATAACTCTAAACTCCACCTTGGATGCCTATATTTGTACTGATAATTATTCACGTACCTTGACAGTGGCCAGCATTAGATTGTAGTACATAGCCATGTGGACATAAACACTGGAATCCTCCATCTGTGTTGATACACTGATGAGAACACATACCAAATGAACTACATTCATTCTCATCTACAATCAATATACAAGCAAGAATTTATAAGATGAGGGTATATAAGTGGTGACATTAATAAATATTTTCCAATATATTTTAGAGAAACAGACTCGACTAGCCATATTGTGCTATTTCTGTTTCCCTGCCATAGATTATTGAAAGTTTATCATTATTATTATCTTACATATTTTCATAATTTACTTGTATCTATTTACTTTAGCTATTTATTTATTGATTTCCCTGTATTATTATTAAATATTATTATTATTACATTTGTTGAAAATAAAATAAAACTGAAGACATCACAAATTGCAAGAGGATCACAAGGCAAACATCCTTTTCTAAAAATATGTGATTCATGACAATGTTGGCACTGAATAACAGTTTGCAAAGATAATCAGTTCACACACATGCAATGAGTTTTAAAAATATCATAGTTTGAATGGATTAGAACCATAAAAGTGCATAATTTGAAAATATTCTCTTGTTCATTTCAGTCACGACAACGGGAATGTACACTAATATCTCTAACTAAATTATAACTACATTGTACAAGCAGAAAAAGATGTGAAATAACAAAACAAGAGAACACTGCAAAGAATGCACTGAGGCAGTATGGGATAGCATTAACCTCTTCTACACATTAGTTATTACTGCCCTATCATCTAACTGCATATTTTGGATAGTGTTGTAAAACCTCATTGTACATCTTACCCTGACATTGGCGTCCAGCTGTAGCGTAACCATGACGACATATACATCGATAACTTCCTATGGTGTTTTCACATCCTTGTTCACAACCATTGTTTTCAAGCAGGCATTCATTAATGTCTGCAATAAAAATAGATAATTCATTGGTTTTAGTCTTTTCAGAGTAAGTCATCACATCTGCCATTTTATTTATCATTGTACACAGCTAGTCATAATATAATCACAAAAATCACCATTGCCTTGAATATTTATTTTACTCAAGAAATTAAAAATAGAAAATTATACTTATTGTCACCCGAGGTGCCTGCAAGTAAAATATCAATGTAATTGGGATAGCTATTTTACAGAAAAAGTTGAAAGTAGTATTTTCACCAAAAATACAAAAATGTATGCACTAAAATAGCAGAATTGAATTGAAGGTGTTTTCATGAAATGAACAAATCAGGCAAAGGTCCACCCATGTAAAGTATCAAAGCTAGCATACATGACATTTTCATAAAGTAGGCATAAATGTAAAGTTGCTGCCAAAGGAAGAAGCTGCACAATGGACAACTACGGACAATCGACAATACATGTATGAACAGCTCTACTATATATTGTCAACAGTGGTGCTAAATAGTTGAGCTAGGGTGGGATTCAAACTCACAACATCAACCACATCATGTAAAGCCTCTGACATTCATAAGAGCAATGGACTGGTAATTTTAATTATTATTGAACAAACAGAGCATACAATAGATTTTTCCTACTTTATGAAAGTAATGAATATCTAAATTAAACTCAGTATGAGGCAAATCATCTGCATTCTGGACTTTCAATTTTACCACTTTTTGTTGTGGTATAAGTTTGTATTCACAACTTGCATTGACATATAGTACATGTATGTATGTTTGTGATTATAAACACCAAAGTTGTGTTGTCAGCATCTTCTAATGCACAGAGCCTTCACAGTATCATGTGCTGACCACAACTGTAGTGTTTACAACCATAAACACACTTTTTCCCTGCAATCATGCATAATACAATGGATTTCAAAGCTCACAGAGACCACCAAAATTACATTAAATTGGTATTCAGAGAAATCAAAAATGAATATCACTTCATCATGATATGCTCTTCTTATGATGATAAAAGAAAATCACTATATGAAGTTTGCATGACAAATTTTACCAATTTCACAACCTTCTTGGCAAATAACAAATTATAAAAAAATTCATAAAAATGAATATTGGACTTATTAAATTCAGCCCAAATTAATACTGATGTCATACACCATCCCGACATTGCAATCAGCAAATGATTACAATACATCTGCTGAAACAGATTATTTATATTCTCAGGACATAAATTTTCATCTACAACTTACCTCCTTGTTATTATCATACCCATGTATCTATTATTGGTCAAGACTTCAGCAGTAACAGTAAGAGAGTAATGGTGATTATTTATTAGTATTAATACTCAGCCATGGCCAATAACTACCAGTAATTTAACTCTTTGAGTGTCGTAATTGTTCTCATCAATTATTTGCATATTTGTATGTATTTTTTTATGCTACTGATTATTAAAAATTTTGTGAGCAAATATGGAAAATATTTAAAAATACATTAAAACTCTTGAATCAGTAAATGTTTAAAAGTCTGTAAATAATTATTTCTCATTTATCTTCAAACTAAGTACCCTATGCATATAATTAATAACATCAGTATTATAGGGCCACAGACTAGACTATTGTATGAACTATATATGTGGTCCTCACTAGAATTACTATTATTAATATTGTGTATATTATTTATTGTATATTTTCTGGTGAAATAAAAACAACAACAACAAATTTTGTTTTTATGAAAGTTGACAAAATTGACTTTGACACTCGACAGGTTAAAAAGTTGACAACAAAATTGAATAATGCAAATAACCAACGACTGTATTCTCATCTATAAC